CCGAGCGCTACTAGAGAATGTTGAGGGGTTGTTTAGTGATGCTATGTTCTTTTATTTTCAATGATGTTACACGAATAACATCAATTGGGGGTGCGGAGTTTGGATTTTGCTGAAAATTATTTGGGGTCAATTAAAAAATCGCACAGGATCAGATTCAGGGATTGCAATCTCGGATCCCGCGGGATTGATAGGCGCGGTCCCACACTCTTAATATAACATCTAAAATTATTTTAAGTCTGAGTCGTGGTAGTAACTTTGTATCAAAATTTCGCCTCAGTTCAGGTGATCCTTTCTATAATAGAGAAGCCAAAAATTATCATATTTTCACTAAAACTCTTCCATAAGTTGTTTGATTTTGGAAAACAGTAACATTCTTTGTTCCCGCTATAGTTGTAACCATTGTCACAATTTTATTAAAATTAGCAATAATTTCTTAACTATAAAGATGCTAAGGATTACCGGACAAATGCCAGTGGTGTGACATTTACATAAGATCCCAAAGTTTGGAGTCAAGTAAATTGACTTAATAGTTTCCTTGCACTCGATAAGTGCATTTAACGTTCTAGCTGGGGTGCGTTTGTAAATCACTTGGGAAGGTAATACCGTACACAGTAATGGAATGTAGATGGACAGTAGAAATTTCACTTTGGGTAACTTTATTTTTAGTGCGGATAAGTTATTACAAAGTCATGTAATGGCATTTGATAACTTATGATGATGACAAATTTAAAACCAGGTTTTTTGCGACCATTACTTTCATTTTAAGAAACGCTGTTGATACTAGGCGGCCCATTTATCGTGAAAAATATAGTCGTGTCAATTTTGAGCAGTCTTTATTAACTAAATAAAGTAAAGAAACAATGAGCCATGACAATGACAAGTGACAACACTCTTATTCCTAAGGTTTTAATCACGGGGAGAAAAGTGCACTTTTGACATTCCATAAGATTACATTTTTCTATTGCCAAACGTATGGATCAGGTACAAAGTATAGTTTGTAACAATTGACGAACGCAGCCCTAATCAGATATTTTAAGAGCTATCAGTGATTAGTGAAATATAAAACATCCCTCATATCAAAAGTTTTGAGCTTCCTAAAAGCTTCAGTCAGAAACTTAAAAAATGGAATTCGGGAACATTCTGTTTCATACCTGTATTTTGAAAACCTATTAAGCTTTTTCGGCCTTGGCGTAGCAGTAGCCTTGCGTCAATGTTTCCTCAAAATCCAGTCGATACTTACAGAGTTGTAAAGGGCTCAAGGATTACCGGTCAAAGAGAACATAATTTACGGAGATGGAGAGACAATGTATGTAAATATGAATATTTTTTCATTTTTCAATATAGTCACCATTAAACATTTGTCAATTCGTGGCACCAGCTTTTGGATTCCGTCATCAAAGAGCGCTGCCACCTGCCCTTAAACCAGTTAGTAACTGTTTCTTTCAATATGTCATCAATTATCAAGCCTTTTCCACCAAGAAGTTGCTTAACTTCTGGAGAAACATGAAAGTCTGAAGGTGCAAAGTCAAGGTTGTATGATCCACTAATTTCCAACAAAACTACGTCTGCGTTCTTGCCGCAACGTGAGGCCGAACGTTGCCATGAAGCGGAATGAGGCCGCTGAATAGCAGGTACCGCCGGCGGTTTTGATATCGCTCCTATGCTTCAATTATGTTTTACGGCACCTCTCAGCGTTTCTAGCAGGATGAACTTGCGTTTAGAAACCGAAGTACTGAGCGCAATTCATAGTCGACCGGTTTACTGAGTGACACGGCGTCAAACCAACACCGACAGAGGAGTGAAAGACTGGCCAAGCGTGTCTGAGATTCAAGGGACATCACGTGACGATTCTTACTTTAAGAGTGGCCCTCGTAGATAGACGAGCCGCTCAATAAGTTCTAGAAGTTATATTTATTTAGCAAGCAGGTTTTTATTCGCAAGGTTTTTTTCTTTTCCCCTCGACTACTATTTTCTCAATTTCCACTTCCCACACGTCGGGAAATTCAGCCGCCAGTTGCCGCTGGGAAACCACCACATCGTTATTCCTTCTACGTATATACACACCATGCATATTTAGCAGTATGAGTCAGCGAATATTACGCGCAAAATTGTTAGATGATACATTGACTGTTGCACCCTTAAATGGGTTGGTAGGGTGTCAGCAGAAAACTTTTTAAAATTACAACTATTCATTCATATGACAAACATACTGAAAAGACATGTAGTGCATAAGATATTATGGTTAGCAAGATTTACTTGCTTAAGGTGAGTTCAATGAACCTAAAGGGCCTTATAATGCATGCAATATGGCGAAAGCTATTAGTTTGTTACGTATAGCATTCTGGGGCAAAATATTTGACGAAAATGAGTCAAAAGAGATTTACTATCAGAATTTGGATTGCGCCAGGAAAAAAGTACCAGACCTATTTTTTTAACTGAAAATAGGTTGAACCTCGTTTTTTATTTTCTTCATATTGATATTTTATCGCTAACGGAATTCAGCTCAGCCTCTTTTTTCTGCCCTGAAATACCAGCAAAAATGGTGGCGTCTTTTTAAAAAAATAAAGTCATTTCCTCCTGCACCCTCCAATTACACCTAGTTATTCTTATACAAAATATCTCAAAAATGTCTCTATTTGATGAAACAAACGGCAGAAAAAACTAAGTCTGTTGCCAAGCTTACTTTGTACATTTTAAGCAGCAGATGTTTAAAAACTATTTTTTTTAATCGAAATTAAATAAGTTTCTTCTAAATGTATTACCATGAATCTACAGTAGTTTTTCTAATAAGTATAAACTGATAATTATTGTACCACCATTCTGACTAGTAGAACAGATTTTAAAAAATAATGTTATTTTTAGAAAAAAGGTAATAAAATGAATAACTGAACATTTTGTAAGTAGAACTTACTTTTCACGAGTTTAGATGGGAGCGTCAGTGAGAGAGGAACAAGGAGAGAGAAATTGCTCATTTTGAATGATTTTTTTAGCAGGGAATTTCTTCATTTTTTGCTCCGAAAATACAAACCGAATTACAGAACACAGAATAAATCATTTTATGCCTATTTCTCCTAGTAAACATGTATTCGGGGCATTTTTGCTGGCGTGACCGATATCCTTGTAGTGACATATTTTCACAAACATTTGTCTCTTGTCTTACAGTTTCCTAAAACGAGTTTGCGACATTTCTGAGACTACATTGTGGTAACTTAAGCTCCATGCGTCTTTTTCAGAAATGTTCATAAAGCAGGGTTTGTTGATTTACTTTTGTTTGTGTTTCATTTGAGAAAAACCAGAATATAGCCCTTTAGAGTCTAATCAAGTAGCGATTACTTCTTTCCACCACATACATGCCCAATACGAGTAATTACTGTAGTCCAGCACTCAATCTGTGGACCTACAGATTACACATTTCAGTTACCATCGTCAATTTGGCGGTTGCATATTATAACCATGAAGCTCATGTTGTAAGGAATAGGAGTAAAAGTTTTATAGTAGTTGTAGTAAAAACTGACGTGCCTTCAGGAGGAAGAGGAACATAAATGTTTTAATACAGAATACTACATAGAATTACGGCATGAAGTACGAGCACTTTAACAGATGAAAGGAAATTAATGCAAATGTGTTTTGGTTTACAGCTCAAGACGTTACCTTTCATTTTATTAAACAACTAAGTCTTGGTCGAGGTCTGCGTATAAAATGTTCTGGAATTGGGTCAAATTGATTTTCTACTGTATTCGTGATTGTCTGTTTTTATGACATTATATAAGTTCTTTGTGACATTGTCTAGTTTTTCCTATATGATGTCAGTTGGAACAAGCTGTTCTTCACTTGATGTTGTTTTTGTGTTAAACGCCATAACTCTTGAGCTATCATGGTATGGCTCTAATGTGATGAAACATTTGCTTCAGAGATGGAATTATTGCAGACCTAAGCTGCAAGTTATACAGGGTGTTAGGGAAATAATTTTCGTAACTTTAAGAGGTGATTCCTTGCATTATTCTAAGAAAAAAAGTTCATTATAACTTATGTCCGTTTTCGAGTAAAGTGAGTGTCGTAAATAATTAAATTTTCTCAAACATTTGGCAACGCTGCAACGCAACCGCGATACCAGCGGACGACGACCGCGACAGTTTCATGGAATTGTTTACGTTTGTATGATATTTTTGTTGAAAGTATGCCTTGAATTATTGAATATTTTTACACTATTTTGTGGCTAATATTTTTTATTCAATAACACTTTCAGTACAGTACATTTACTTAAAAAAAAGACAGAACTTACCGGTACGTAGTGATACACACCAACAATTCCCACGATTATCAGTCACTTATGTGAATCGACGCGATGCACGAAAAAATAAAAAAAGCAACATCCGTTAATCACATGCAGTGCAAGCGGAGTACGACCTTGCCAGTTGTGTGAGGGGTTTTGTTTTGTTTGTTTTTCTTCGGAAAACTGTGTTGAATAAGCAAGAAAATTATTTTGTTAGAGACAGTTAATTAATAAATAGACGTATTGATACATTTTATGCTATTAGGCATATGAATTTAAGTTATAAAGGTGCAAAATTAATTTATTTCATAATTAAAAAGAAATAAGTTCAGCATTTTTTTGCTCCGAAACGGTTGATTTTCGGACATAAGTTATAATGAACTTTTTTGCTTAGAATAATGCAAGAAATCACCTCTTAAAGTTACGAACATTATTTCCCTAACACCCTGTATACTATAGCTGGAAGGAAACGGCAGTGCTAGATGCTTAGTGACGATTTCACGTTCTCGATGCTGTTTGACCGCAAACTAGCTTTGTTATTGCAAATGTAATTCACTCTAAGACGAAAGTTTCCAACTTTCAGGACATTCTGTTTACTAGTAGTGTTAACGATGTACGCGACCAATAGTAAAGTTGCGGTGTATATATGCTTTTTGATGAAAACCACCTCTCTTATAAAAATTGGCAAAATAAAAAAATGGAAATGGATACTGACTATTCGACTTACCTTGGTTAATGAATCCGGATATGACACCCAAAAAGCATGTAAACACCGACAGTCGTGGTTCTCTGATCCGATATTTCCTCAATATTTTCAGCGAAATCCACAATGTTAGTGTAAGGGTCACAAAGGTATTCAGAATGCTGTACCAAATTACCTTTGAGAAAGTATGAAGATGAGACATCGACGATGGTTTACCTTCCGGCTTTTTGACGTAAAGAAGATACCTAAAAATAAATCAACTTTATTATTAGGATTACAAAAGTGGTTCACAATGATTACTCGCTGTGTGTTCTATCACATTTCAGTGATTATTTCAACTTCGTGGCTCTCATTTTCATGTCTAGTTACAAAACCGTGGCTTGTTCAATTCGACAGAGACGGAATATAAAACGTGACAAAAAAACTCCTGGAATGCCTGTTTTCAGGTGAATAATTTAGCCGCTTTTGATATAAAACGTTGTTTTGTTCTCGTTTACATGACGTACGTGTTATTTAACCGTCACAATTTCGCCTTTTAAGGTGGGTAACAGCTAAAATGTCGTGTATTTTCACTTTTATTGCCGCAGGCGAGGAATTATTGTAGTCGCGTAGAAAATGAGATATTACATTTTTTGCATGTTACCTGACAAGTACATCACGAAAAACATGTCGTTTATTTACGTCGATATGTCTGTCTGTCAGTGTGTTAGCCTGTGTCTCCGCTAATCCTTGGTCCGTCTATAACTTGAAATGTACCGCTTGGTTTTTGATGAAATTCTCAAACAAGGATATTACTATGTCAGGAATGGAAAAGCTTTTTAATTTCGGAGAATCAATTCAGTGATGGCAGAGCCCGGGGCAAAAAGGGCAAAAACATATTTCAAACATCATTTTTTGGCGCTTCAGATGCTCTTGATCATTTAGAATGATAAAGAAATACTTTTATTACACGCATGTCTGGTTATACACGGTTGACCGAAATTGCTAGCTACTGTGTCGGGCTTAGATATAGCTACGAGGGATGTCTTTTAAGTTTTGCATATGGAAATAAAGCAACACGGTAGGTAGTTTTAAATGACTTTATTATTTTTCGAAGTATTCTCCACGAAGATTAACACACATCTGAATGCGCTCGAACCAATTTTCGAAGCACTTATTCCACTCGTTTGCTGGCAGATCCAAAACGGCATTTTTGAATGCGTCAACTGCTTCTTCTGGTGACTGGAACCTTTGACCACGCAGTCTGTTTTTAATTTTCGGGAAAGTAAAGAAATCGTTAGGACTTAGATCGGGACTATATGGAGGCTCGTCCAATAATTTCACGTTTTCTTCCGTTAAATACTGCCTTGTTTCTTGGGCTGTGTGCGAGCTTGAATTGTCTTGGTGTAGGATGATTCTTCTTTGGGGGTTGATTTTTCGAAGCTCGGTCGTGACTTTTGGCAAACAAATGGTGGTATACCAATCCGCAGTAACAGTTCTTTGCTCATTAAGAGGAATTGTTGCAATGTGACTTCGCTTTTGACACAAATGCTGCGACCACCTTTTCTTCACCTTGGAACACCCAAACAGCCGACTGTCGTTTATTTTCTGGTTCATAACAGTAAATCCACGACTCATCACCTATAACAACTGTACACATTTTTTGAGTCTCCGGAATTGAAACAGTCAAGCGTTTTTTGACATCAATTAACCCTGGCTGCTTTCTGCTCTTCAGTCAACAGGTGGGGTATCCAACGAGAAACTAATTTTCTTACTCCTAATTCTTTATGTAAATTTTTTTGAATTGAGGTCTTTGAGATCTTTAAGGACGCCTCAATCTCGCGATATGTCACATGTCTATCTTCAATGATCATCGACGTTTTCCTGGCTGTCTGCCGTTTTTGGTGCACCCACCCTGGGATCGTCGCTAAGACTCACCCGTCCACGTTTGAATTCTCCATAGCAACGGGAAATTGTCGACTGATGTGGCGCTTCGTTGCCGAAAACATACAGTAACTCAGCAAGGCATTCTTGTTGCGATAATTGTCCATGAAAGTTGTAATAAATTATGGCGCAAAAATGTTTTCGGTTGACTTCCATTTTTCTAATGACTTGGTGACATTTAAAAATTAACTGTAGTGAGAACACTGCACGTATTGTTGTGAAACTTTGAATTTAAGTTTACTAAAGAAAGAGGTTAAGATTCAGTACTGACGTTCGATCCGCGCGGCCTACTATGTTTCTATATGCAAAACTTAAAATACATTCCTCGTTCGTTGCCAGATGGTCGATACTGTCTGTAGGACAGGGGATATATTCCTAGGTTGTAACGTTGTCAGGTAGGTATATAACATAATATTTTATGACCTGGTGATGGCGTTGGATGGAAAGTGCAGAGTTAATTAATTTAAAATCATTTTCTAAGTTAAAATTCCACCTAAGCAGTTATAATTTTATCACATTATGCTACCGAAGATAAAAACCGTCACGGCAAGCGAGTAGATATCTTAGCGACTTTCTAAATGGCAGTCTTCGATTAAACACCCTGTGAGCGTTCCTGAAAGAGTGCATGGACACATTGAAAGCCAACGAAAGAGTATGGACATATTTTATTTAATTTAATGCATTCCGCGTTAGGCAAATCTAATACAATTTAATATTGAACTCATGACTGACACCCCAAGTTAAAAGTAGTAGTCACTGGTGACTGACACTGCAGTTAATGTTTTAATATCGGTATCCATTTGAAGCCATCAACAAAAAGCGGCAAAGCGCATACAGGGTTTGTCCGGAAAGTAATAGGACTCATTTTCTTCCGCCATGACTGTACTTCGGACCGTACGCGCACCGACTGGATTCGGTAGAGGGCGTTCCTAGCTAACGAATGAGCGGCTGGTCAGTTATCTCCGAGCGCTTGGAGAGTCAGGACAGGAATTTTCGCGCGACGTGTTTCTGTGAGTGGTGCAAGCCGAAAATGCAGCGTTCGTCACAGCAGAGGTACGCGATTAAATGCTGTGTGAAACTCGGTAAATCTGCGACAGAGACGTTTGATATGATCAAGCAGGGTTACCCAGGTTCGCCTTAGGAAGAAGTGGTGTGTTTCGGTGGCACCAAGCCTTTTTGGAGGGCCAGGAAGAGGTTGCTGATGAAGACCGTGCTGGAAGACCTTCGACTTCGACAAACACCGATGATGTGACTCGTGTACGCAAAGTTTTGAACTCAGAATGTCGACTAAGTATTCGTTTAATTGCCCAGATGTTAAATTTACCAAAATCTGTGGTTCATGACATTGTGACACAGCATTTGAACATGCGCAAGGTGCGCGCGAAGATGGTCCCAAAAGTGCTCACTGACGACCAGAAATTGCGGCGAGTGGAAGTGTTCCAAGAAAATTTGAACATGTGTGAAGGTGACCGCAAATTTCTGAATAACGTAATCACAGGTGACAAGTCGTGGATCTTTGAGTATGATGCCGAGACAAAAAGGCAATCTTCCGAGTGGCACACGACGGCGTCTCCTCGCCCAAAAAAGGGAAGAATGAGCAAATCCAAAGTGAAAACGATACTCATTGTCTTTTTTGACATGAAAGGCATCGTCCCCCATGAATGTGTTGCTCCTGGACAAACCGTCAACCCCAAGTTTTACGTGGAAGTGCTCAGGAAACTCAAACGAAGGGTCAGTCGGGTCCGACAAGACATCGCAGCCGACTGGAAGTTGCACCACGACAACGCCCCGGCTCACACCGCCTTTCTTGTGAACAGCTACCTGACCAAGGCCGGCATCTCAACCCTTCCGCAGCCGCCCTACAGCCCAGATCTGGCCCCCGGACTTTATTTTGTTTCCTCGCCTGAAAAGGCCGATGAAAGGCAAGCATTTTGAGACGATAGAGGCGATCCAAGCAGCATGCACCGCGGCTCTCAAGGCTATTCCGGAGAATGCCTTCCATGACGCCTTCAATGCTTGGAAATCGCGCTGGCAGCGCTGCATCGTCGCAGAAGGAGCCTATTTTGAAAGTTTTTAAAGAATGGTAACGATTGGCTCAATCAATTTTTTTTAAATCGACTCAGTCCTATTACTTTCCGTACAAACCCTGTACTATCCCTAGATGCGCCTACTGATATTGTTCCCAAAAAACAAATATCTAAGTGTAAAAAACAGTCATTTAGAGTCTTGAATAGTAAGGACACTTCTTGCTCATGTACATTTCCGATCTCCATGTGACACATTCTTTATTATTGTTACTTCCCACGCCTACTGGCGGGAAAATATTGTGATCGCGAAAAATTTCGATAACGAGATATAGGCGTGTTTTTAAAGTAAGTACCGTTTTGACAAAAAAAGTAAACTTTGTCCAACAATAATTTATTCACTTGAAAGGCCATACTTGCCCTGTGTAAGGACATTTGAGTACAAACATGAAAAAATGATTAGTATTTCATAATTTTTTAACCATCTTGTTTTATTGTTCCTCTAAATTTTAAAATAGTTTTATCAAGTTTTTTTTACCTTTTATTGCCACTTTGTGTTTTACGTTTGTCTTATTTTCGTATTGTTTGTTACTTTTACTTACTCTTTTATGTTCTACTTTAAATGACCTGTGCAAACACATTTTTGTGTAATAGTACCAATAAATTATTATTATTATTATTAATGAGCGAGGGCCGTGGCAAATGCTTGTTCCAGAAGTTGTTGTATCCAGTATACAACTTCTTCCCGTCCAAATGATTGTGCACGCGTTAAGGAATACCTCAGTACCGATTGCCGGGTGGCGGTACAAGTCCGCCAACGGGCCACTTTAGGTCTATTTAACATCACTAACACGTAAAAAGAAGGTGGTAGACAAGGACCAGTCGACCGAGGCAGTACCACCCGCTAGCTTTTCCCAGGGTGTCTTATAAATGTCCGCATGTTTCCACACCTAAGCTATGCAGTCGGTTATCTACCAAAACAAAGAAATTAATGATGATGGATCCCTCGAGCACTAAAAACTCCGGACGTACACTCACTCCACTCTCGGATTGTCCGGGTGGAGGGTGGGCTCGAGGGAACAACATCGAAGATAAAATTTGTTTTTCGAACATCTGCGGGATCAACAGCAACATTGATGCTGTTCATAACTACCTGCAATCCAATCGTCCCGCCGTGCTTTTCTTGGCGGAGACAAAAATCTCAGAGACTGCACCGATTAACCATCTCAACTTCCCAAACTACGAGGTGCACTCCAATCTAAGAAAGAATGGGGGAGTTGTGGCTTTTGTCCGCAGCAGTCTTTCCTGCTCCAGGGATCCTTCTTTGGAATCAGACTGGAAGGACATTCTGTGGCTTCGCCTCAACTCCAGAACATCACCCAAATATATTTGCTGCCTTTATCGCTCTCCCTCGAACCATAACTGGGATGACCTACTCGAATACTTCGCTGTCCAGATCGACTTCCTGAACGTCAATCACCCCGCTTCAGAGGTAGCTCTTCTCGGTGATTTCAATGCCCATAATGAGCTTTGGTTGGGCTCAAATAAGACCGATGCAGCAGGTCGTGCAGTCGAAGCGTTCGCTCTTACTCAAGGGCTGACCCAGCTGGTGACGAGCCCTACTTTTTTCCCCCGCGTCTCGTCACACGCCAGTAGCCTGCTGGATCTCTTTCTGACCACGCATCCTGCCCCTTACAGCACTGCTGTCCTGTCCCCCCTGGGTAACTCAAATCACGGTGTTGTGGAGGTTAGGTTTCGGTCAGAAGCCGCTGTGGCAGCAGAAACTCGCACAGGCCGCAAAACTTGGCATTACGGACATGCCGACTGGTAGGGGCTCAGAGACTTCTTCTCTAGCTTTCCTTGGAGAGATGTCTGTTTCACTGACGCGGATGCGTCGACTGTCTGTTCTTCAATAACCGAAATTATCCACGTCGGAATGGAGGAATACATCCCTCACACAGTGAAAGTTCCTAAACCAGGGCCCAACGGCTGGTTCAACAAATCGTGTGACACTGCTCGCCAGCAGAAGATCAAGGCCCACAGAACCTACTTACAAAACCCCACTGTAGAGAACAGACAAGCCGACGTCGCCTCCAGAAACAAATATAACGAAGCGGTACGCAATGCCAAAAACCAGCATGATATAAAAAATAGGCACAGGGTAATGTCGCAGCGCAATGGAAGTCGGTCTTTCTGGACGCTGGCCAAGCAGATTGAAAAGAACTTCTCCCACAGTAGCCTTCCACCACTTACGTGTCAGGATGGAACTATTGTATTCGACTCAAAGGCCAAGGCGGAAGTGCTAGCCAAGATCTTTGCTGCCAACTCCACCAACGCCCAAGTGCCGTCAATTCAAAGGGTTCCCCACACTATGCGGGAGGTAACATTCAGGCATAAGACCGTAAGACGAGTGCTCTTGTCGCTCGACATCAACAAAGCTTCTGGTCCGGACTTGATTCCTGCCATTGTACTGAAGAGATGTGCAGCGGAGCTTGCTCCAGTTCTTTCGCGTCTCTTCCAGATATCTTATGAATCCGGCACCTTCCCTGAAAACTGGAAATTTGCTCATGTACAGCCCATCCCAAAAAAAGGATCTAAAACCGAACCTTACAACTACAGGCCTATAGCTCTGCTTTCTGTTATAAGTAAAGTGATGGAGAGGTGCATAAATCGCGAGCTTCTAGACTACCTCGAACGTCACAGTTTGATTAGCGACAGGCAGTACCAACGATCCACAGGGGACCTCCTAGCTTACGTCACGCAACTGTGGAGTAAACTCATCCAGTCTCATGGTGAGGCTCATGTCGTTCGATCAGCTGTGGCACGCTGCCCTCTTAAGCAAACTTCCATCCTACGGCCTCCCAGAAAAGCTTTGCAGATGGGTGGCTGACTTTATCTCTGGCCGCAAGATATCCATCGTAATTGACGGATTCTCCTCTTCATCCCACAACGTCAACGCGGGTGTTCCCCAGGGATCGGTCTTGGCTCCAACACTGTTTACATATCAACGACCTCCTTTCCTGCACGATCAACCCAATCCACAGCTTCGCTGATGACAGCACTCTACATGCAGGAATTCAGAGTGACAAGCCGATGTCTGCCGCTGAGCTGGAAAAAAGAAGACTAGCGACG